TAGCCGTGATCCTGCGAGAGAGAGGAAGAGGGAGGGACGCCGAACGATCGCGAAAAAGGATTAATGGTGCGCTTCTCGCGAGATTTTTCCAACTGAGCCTTCCCTTAGCTGTCGGTTGTTTAGACTTTCTGCAGCTAGGTATGGTGCTTGGCAGGTGGTAGGTAGACCACCCAGCTCCTGACACATCTCATAGATACAATGCATATTGTTGGGATAAATTGATAGGGTTGCCAGATAAAATACGGAACACAGTTAAATTTGAACTTCAAGAAGTAAACATTTTTTTTTCGTATAAAAGTATGTTCCAAATAGTATATAATATAAGCCTAGCAACCTTAAAGTTGATGGAGTACAGAGAGCATTTATCCAAGTGAGAATTCTTTATATGTATATATATATATATATTTATTTCAAGAGAGCAAGGGAGAGAGAAAGAGAAAGATAGAAACATCAATGACAAAGAATCATCGATTAGCTGCCTCCTGCACAATCCCCACTGGTAATAGAGCCCGAAACCTGGGCATGTGCCCTTGACCAGAATCAAACCGGGACCCTTCAGTCCACAGTCTGATGCTCTATCCACTGAACCACACCAGCGAGGGCCCAAGTGAGAATTCTTGTTTTGTTGGTTTTTGGTGGTGGTGGTTGTTGTTGTTGTTGTTTTGAGAGTGCATTTATTAAAGTTGGGGACAGTGAATCAAGGAAGGGCTTAGGATAGAAGAAGCAACTGGAGAGAGCCTAGATGGGGCTGCTTTGGCTCACTGGGAAGTCAAAGAAAAGCAGGCCTTGGAGGCAGGGTCAGGGGGGTTAGCCCAGAAGAGCTGCCACTGCCCATTGCTCCTTTGGCTGCAAGTCTCCAGGGGACCCTGAGATGGGGAGAAAAGGGATGGGTGTGCTTCTGGGAGGGAGAGTGCTGAGAGTTCATATTTTAAATGCTAATTCCTTTTCTGTTGTCAAAGTGTTCTTCATTCAACAAGCATCTATGGAGTCCTAGTACTTGTGTATGTTAATATAATATAAACATGAAAACACAGCCTCAGCCTTTGATGGGCTTATCTGATTTAGAGTTCTGAAAATACAGTTGGTCACAATAATCATAGGTACTCAAAATTTTTTGTTAATTTATTATGCAAAAAGTATCAATGTTAGATACACAGCTTCTTCATGGAACCTCTCTGTACATATAAACAATAATGCCTGTACTAAATATAGGTAGAAAATTTTAAACCTTACAAAGCTTGAAAATAGAGTAAACTTTAGCAAAATTTTGGTCACAGAATAGAATGTTACAATTTCTCATCTAAAAATAAAAATGAAATGACATTGTTAGAAATTTGTACTCAAAAAGATAGGAGAGACATGTCATTAAACAAGAAAAACATAGGAAGAATCATCCTATATGGCAAGAAGGGGACAATGGGCAAATTTTAAATGACTCAGCTTTGAGGGTGACTTCAGAGGACTCTTTAAACATAAAATCTAAACTAACGAATTGGTTTGTGGTGGATAGGAAATTATTATAAATTTAGTTAAATCTTTCTCTTTTTTTCTTTAATCCTCACCAGAAGATATTTTTCCATTGATTTTTAAAGAGAGTGGAAGGGAGAGGAGAGACAGAGAGAGAGAAACATCGATGTGAGAAAGACACATCCATTGGTTGCCTCCTGCACATACCCCAACCAGGGCCAGGGATTGTGCCTGCAACTGAGGTGCGTGCCCTTGAACAGAATCGAACCAGGACCTTTCAGTCTGCAGGTCAATGCTCTATCTACTGAGCCAAACCGGCTAGGGCAAATATTTCTTTTGTGTACAGATTTATTGAGATATAATTGATAAAGAGCAGCTTTCTCAGTTGCTTTGGGGATTTACAGGGAAAATATAGTAATCACCTGACTGCATCTCGGGGTTCATAGAATTGCCCTGGCTCCCTGCCCTGGGAAGAGATGCAAATAAACTAAATCATGCAGTCTTAGAATTTCTGAGTTTAAAGTTGTGAGTGTTTTTAAATATTTTTATTGGGTTTTTTTGTGTTTGTTTTTTTTTTTTTTTTGAGAGAGAGAGAGAGAGAGAGGATGGGAGAGGGAGAAAGAGAAACATTGATGTGAGAGTTGAATATCCATCAGCTGCCTCCTGCCCGCCCCTACTGGGGATCAAGCCACAAGTACGTTTGTGCCCTGACCAGAAATCGAACCCACAACTTTTTCCTGCATAGGACAATGCTCAAGCAACTGAGCTATACTGGCTCCAGTGAGTTTAAGTTTTTCTGTACAGTGAAGCAACCTTTATTTTACAAAATCACTGTTCATACCAGTTGTTAGGCCAAACCATGCAGTTTACAGAAGATTTTGCATTTTATTTTTTAAAATATATTTTTATTGATTCCAGAGAGGAAGGTGAGAGGGAGAGAGATAGAAACATCAATGATGAGAGAGAATCATTGATCGGCTGTCTTCTGCATGCCCCCTGCTGGGGATCGAGTCCACAACCAGGGCATGTGACTTTGACCAGAATCGAACCCAGGACCCTTCAGTCTGCAGGCTGATGCTCTATCCACTGAGCTAAATAATTTGATATTTTCTAGAATAGATTTTTCCAGCTTTATTGAGATATAATTTATATTAGAGTTGAATTTTATCTACCAAACCCCAAAAGTGTAGTGCAATAGAAAGAGTGCTGGCTTAGGATGAAAGAAGGTCAGGGTTCAATCCTGTAGGGGCACGTGCCAGGGATGCAGGCATGATCCCTGGCGGGGGGGGGGGGGGGCCAGAGGCAGCCAATCAATGATTCCCTCTCATCATTGATGTTTCTATCTCTCTCTTCATCTCCCTTCCTCTCTAAAATCAATAAAAATATATTTTTTAAAATCTCAGATAA